ACTGCTCCAAATCCGTTCAGGCACTGTGATGAACTGTGTCCCGCACACAGGTACAGATTGACATACTCTGAAGTATTCAGAATTATTTTATTCTACAATGTAAACAAGTTAAAGGTAGTAAAAATCCTTTAAGGAAAATGTGCATTTTTAACAACTAGAAGTTCAAGTAGGTAGCTGCAGGAACAGGTAGGTGTTTATTCTATGCTGAAAGGAAAAGAAAAGACACTCAACTTAAAGGCTCCACAGCCAAAATGTTGTGTCCGTCTTCTTTTCTTTTTAGCATGGAATAAAGGATAAAATACCTAAATAAAATACCTGTTCCTTTGCAGTTCTGACTCTATTCTGGAATGTCTTATGCCAATGGACATATACCAATTGCATTTTTTGGTTGTGTTTTGTTTCTTATTACGTTAACAAAGGAAGTCAAATTAAGAGGAAAAAAACCTTCTCCCTATATGTCACGGATGTTGGAAAGGACAAACCGTAGAGAGGCAGGAGGGCGGAAAAAGACCCAAATGCGTAGCGGCGGAACGGGGAATAAGCCCGGGCTCAGCAGTTCAGGAGTTGTATAGAAACCAATGCCCTCAGGCAGCAGACGTGGGGCGACCTGGATGCTAGGCGGGTCTCAGGACATCCGAACGTCAATGCTGAGCTAAGGAGAATAAGTGACCCGGAAATATATAGCCCCAGAGAGAGAGACACCTGAAGGAGAGCAAAGCACAGGAAACAAGGGACAGGACAGTGTAGGAGCCCCGTTTGACACTATAGTCCTTCCTCCAACATGGTAATGCCATGGTACAGCTGGTACAACATGGTGCAACTTTCCGCTAATAGGCTTCAGAAATGAAATCACCCGTAAGACATATGCTAACATTCTCAGCAGCACTCCACATCTTTACCACCTTCCCTGTGGGACCACTAATCTGGGCAATACAAAGGTCTGTATGAATAATGTCAAGATGGGTCCATGCATGAAGTGATGGCAGGAGAAGGAATGCAGAGGCTCTCAATTCAGCATCAATGTCTTTTTTGTTGTTGTGAGGCGAGCCTGACAAATCTGTTTCTGCTGCCATGAAAGACCAAGACCAGAATCAAGACCAGCAGGTGTGAACTCAGATAATTTTTGTGTAGAATAAAACAGCTGTTCTGAAGACTAATACCATTTAATTTTATGTATCATCAAATATAATGAGGAAATGTGGCTAGATTTTGGAGACATTTAATAAATGTAGAGTGATAATGCAATACTTAATATCCATCCATCCATTTATGGTGTGGCATAAAGCAACCATAGAGAAACATGTAAGCTATCATACATGGATTATATAACTGCCTCTGCAGGAATAAGAACAGTTAAATAAAGATAATGGAGAAAACTCATACCATTTCCCCAGTCATGTTGAGTGCCTGAACTGTATAATTTAGAGTAAAAAGCGGATCTCTGTACAAGATCTTACAGTAATATGTTGATGTAATTACACTCTAAAGTGTCTATTGCTGCGGAGTATAAAAGGTAGGAAATGACCAATGGACCAATTGCCATTTGTTACGTGGGGGCAAGCCAGAGCTCGCAGCCCCGGTCTTCACTGACCACTTTCGCACGTGGAGTCAAACACCTCCCTGTGCTTTGTGCCACCTGCCGCCACTTACGAGTAATTACCTCATGAGCGCCAGATAGGCCTTGTCTAGTCCACAGCCAAACACTTTGTCATTGTGCTTCCTACCAGTATATGTAGGACAAACCAGTCTGCCAACCATAACTCTAGTACCACACCTGAATCGCTCTGACTTCTTGATGCCGATTCCGAGATGGCCCACTGGATCCCTGTCTGTCTCCTTGTTGCTATGGAGCCAGCATTCTTAGCAACCAACTTGACCTGTTTGGCTGTGCAGCTTCCCTGTTCTGTCCTGCCCAACTGAGATGATTTCCAGCAGCATCAGAAAAACACAGCTGTTGAGCACATTTTAGCAAAAACAGCTTGTTTTCAAATGCACTAATTCTACTGGGATGAGATTTATGCACTAGGGATCAAATTAAATACTCTAAAGACGTATTTGACTGTGTCCCATAAAAGCAAGGATGGGTGATTGAGCATCTCTTAAAATCAAGGGACTCAATTTAGCTTGAAACTGCATCTTATTTTGTTATTGGGTGGCCAGACAAAGATGTTACAATTAGTCCAGAAATTGGTATGCTGATATGCACTGATCACCACAGAAAATGTAGTTGTGTTGTTTATTAATGTTTATCATGTCAAGCCTGATTGTGTTACTCTTTCACCAGAGCTGTGCCAGAGAATATAAAAATCATGTGCCTAAGATTTTACCTAATGTTATGGTGATTTTACTTAACCACTTTCTCTATTTTGTAACAATAGCTTGGTAGGAAAGAATTAGTTAATTATAGTAGTAATAAAAAACCAAATTGTTTGGCTATGAGGCTAAACAAATGACACATATCTACCACACCCAGATGACAGTTTTTCAATGTTGTTTCATGCCAAAAAAATTACAGTATTCATATCTAAATGCAGACCCACTCTATATTTATTTTAAACTTCATGGATGCATAAATTGAAACAAACATTTTTTTACTTGAAATATCAGTTTCCTAGTTTCTAGTTTATTACACTCTGATCATAACACCGACTTTTGGAAATGATAATTGCCAAATAACACTTTGAGGTAAGACTACCCTTTGCACAAAAACTATTTTCTTACCCACATGCACAGATGAGAAAAACTAGCAAATGCCACATGGACTATTTATCCATGAAAAAATAGTTTTTCCTTCCAGTCTGATGCAAAGACTCCTTTATGGTCTTCCTAAGGGGGGTATTGTATGTCAGTGTAGCACAAACGTTTGAAAATAAAAACCTGGGTCTTGTTTTGGTTTCTCAAGTCTCTATAGATTCTGCATGACTACTCCATATAACACTTCTACTGCGCCAAACCTAGAGAATACAACCAGATCATCTCACTGACATCCCTCTTGGAGACAAACTTTAAGGATGATGTTTTAATAAGCACAGTCTTCTAGACAATGCTGCATTCCAAACTCTTAAGTTTCACTAAATCAGTATTAAGAGCTCTTTTTTGTTCCCTTTGTATCATCTGTATCCAAGTCAAGTTTTGAGATCAGTTGGTGATTGATAGTCATCGGAGAGTTTGTGTCTATTCATATTGCAACAATCAATGATCTCACCACTGCCATGTCAGTGTTTAAATAGCATTAAGTTAATGCTTGGTGTGTGCACAATGTCTGGGAGTTTTGTTAGTGCTGACTTTGTAGTTAACTCTGTAAAGAAGTAACATAAAAGCACTTGGACTTTACTTCTCATGGCCATTGTGTGGTTTATGTGTGTGTTGACTGCATATGTAGAGGTTTAAAAGCAATGAGCATGAAATGACACTGTATGGATAAGCAATGTTTGCAGGAATTCAAAAAGCTGGAGTTTAGAAATTTAAAAAAAGCAAGAATATTGACAATATTAATGATAAAACATATTAGATTTCTTATGAATTCCTAACGTCTGACAAACAGAACAAACAAACCATACACAGAGGACAGTTACAGTATTGACTGATTCTTCTACCCTTCCTACCTTTGAACCCTTGTCTATTAACACAAAACTGGCAGTGCAGCCCTATGCTGTTGTTTAAGCACAGACTGTAGTAGGAGAGCTTACCGACAACCCCGCCTGCCTTTAAAGAGCCAGAAGTCCACTGGTCTTGCTGTTTGGCAAAATGTTGAGATAAAAAATTTCACTGGCTGACTAATTGTACCCTTTTCTCAGCAGCACTAAGCAAATTTTGCATTGCAACTTGGGGTGTCCCAGTTACACGTGGCTAGTGACATGATCCAAGCCCCACCCCATGATCACAGAACTCAACCCATGACTTTACCAGCTGAGCCACTCAGAAGGTCCAATGAAAGTGCCCCTTTTAAAACTGTTAATAAAATAAGATAAAATAAAATAAGACATTTGTATAAGATAAAAATGAGTTTATGTTTCCAGAAAAGGCTATATGAAGTTGATATTAATGTCCTGGAGCAGGAGCCATCCAATTTGTTGTAATCAGATATCACTTTTTAGGTAGTCCACATTACTATGCTAATAACATACGTTACAGTCAACTTTGTAAAAAACATTTATTCAATGAGCACCAGTAAAGCATACAAACATATTTTCACTTAATTACCATTATATTATTCATCCTTACAAATTGTCAAGATAGGAGAGTATTTTACTGTATGTATTATTAAAAAATCATGAGATTAAGAAGAGCTTCAACTGAAAAATATATATTTTTAGAAACATTTACAGTCTTAATCATTTTACAGTCCAATAATGTAGTTACATATTGCTGAATTTAATTTTTAAATTAAAATTACTTTGGGATTCTAAATCAAGAAAAAAAATGTGCCTTTTGAATAGACTGAAAAATGATAATTAACAGTGTTAAATCACCTTCTACTGAAAAAAGGTGTTTCTTTAGAAAAAGGCACTTCACCACTGTTATGTACAAAGATAGTAACATTATGTCTTAAACCTTGGAAAATACTTTATTAAACTACAGTATGTGTCATCTCTTTTCATTAGATTATGTGCTGTTACAGTATAAATAAAACCTTGAATTTAACTTAAATAGAAAGTGAAAAAACATTGTTTGCAACAGATGTTACTAAAGTGGACATTTTCAAATACAGAAAAACTCCTTAATGGGAACTTAACAAGAAATACAGTGCACCCAGATTACCTTATCACATTAAAGGTGAAGCACTAAAACTTTCCTTTTTTGGTCAAAGGACATTTTATAATTTTCATTCTTTTTTAGTACACTTTGCTTTTGGTCTTCTGTACCACAATTGCTCTTTTTACAATCAAAACATATTCAAGAATTTATAAAAGACATGTTAATATCACAGGAAGCTACTTATCGAATAACAATTGCATTTCAGAATTGGCAAAGGGAAATTATGGGCATGGTTCTAAAACTTTGCCTGTCTTGATAAGGTCAGTAGGGACAAACAAACAAAAAAATAATGCAGTTTTCTTAGAGCTATAGCTTGTTTCAGTACTTGCAATTAAGACCTGTTTCTCTTCCTTTTACACACAACTGAAGTATTGCTTACTGAGGTATCTGTTCTTTGGCATTGTTTCAGAACATGTGTTGGCTGAACAATGTCATCAGAAAGCAACTTATATATATTTACATCTTTCAAAAGTTACACGTATGAAAAAAATACAGTGTCAACTTTTCTTCCGATAAAACCTTGTGCCTTGTTTTCTCACAGGCTCATCGTGGCACTCATTTTCGCCTCTGATTCTGCACGTAACTGTTCTCGATGCATAGCACGATAAAGTTGTTAGAACAGCTGCGTGTGTGTTGGTCCAGGAGTCTGCCACTATGCAGCAGGGATGCCTGGCCTGTGACTGCCATGTCTCCTGCTCGCCATGCTTCACAGTAATTGGATGTCAAGCGGATCCCAATTGGACTGGAGCCATGCCATACCATTTTCTGAGGCCTGCATTTAGACATAGAACCATTCAGATTAGAAAAGTGACATACTGTGTAAAACCATCACTATATACAATATATCAGGTGTATTGTGATCATAAAACATTGCATCTTAGTGGAGTCCCGCTTCTTCTTTGCTAAGAAAGATTATTTTTTTCCATGGGTAAGGCAGGGAATTGACTGGGGGTTGATGCATTTCAGTGTGTCACAACCGAGCAAGGGTAGAGTCCATCACCACAGACCTGAAGTCCACTGATTGAAACCAGTGTTCCTCCATAAATCAGATTTATTAGTTCCTCTAAATTATTCAAACCTGGAAAAGTGCCTATCCAGTAAGTTCAGGGTCATGGTGGGATCACACAAAATACACACAGAGATCAATTAAAGATCCAAATTAACCTATTAGGTATGTCTTGGTTGGGAAGTGGAAGAACACTCTAACACCTGGTGAAAACCCTCATGATCATGGGTAGAACATGCAAATTCCATGTTGGGTATTGAAAGTATTGACCTTGATTGTATTTTGATACATTTTGACAGACATACATATTATTTTCCTCTTTGATACATACAACAGCATATAAAATATCAATATGTTTAAAGTTAGGAGCAAAAAATTAAATTAAAATAAAAACCATAAAAATCTTCATTGGTAAAATATCCACCTCCTTAGCATCAATACATCAAGGCTTAGCGTCTACCAGCTACCATCCGAAATTGCACAAAATGTTGATTGGAATCCACCTGTGTGCAATTAAAGTGGTTAACCATTTGAGTTTGTAACGCTAAAGGGGAACTGCAGTCCCAAGTTCTCAGACCGCTTATTAAATCTCGGTAACAAACTGAATTCATTGAAGGAGTAGAAACATTTTACAAATTTTGAATGAAGCACAAAATTGTGAATTTGTGAAAGTACTGTAAGTTGTACAGAAGATGCAGTAGTCACTGTAATGAGTAAAGTGATGCGATGACGAGAGAATGTAAGTACAGTTTGTGAAACAGACATTTTACAGCAGAAAGTTTCCAATGTGATTTGCATTCATAACTAACAAGTAAATTCCATTCATCAGCAAAACTGTCTTGAAGTCAAGAACAATATTTTTATTGGATTAAAAGAGATATATTCATAAGCCTGTTTGTTTACAATGTAATATGGCCGGTTCATGTCACCGGAAGTTTTGTTTCCTCATTCTAAATCACAGAACATGGTGCTGGGCATAACTGGAAATTTAATCTATTTTGTAGTGTAATTTGGAGGTTTTATAAATTCCTGTGTATATTTTACTTTTATTATGGTTTGAAATGCACTCATCAATGCTGATTCTTTCTAACCCAGATATATAAAATAGCATTGCAGTTTCCATTTAAATACACCTTTATTTGTAGAAATTACAACTGTCTGCAAACAGAGTTGGACTAGTTCAATGAGAGAATGATTTCCCACCATTGGACATTGCATACAAAGCAAAACTGAAGACAAAGGATTTTCTACAACAACTTAAGAACAGAGTTATGGATAGACATAAATCAGGCAAGGGATATAAAAAGATTTCAGAGTAACTGAGTATCCTATAGAGCACTGATGAATCAATTACTGTATCAGGAACTGGAGGAAACATGGAACTACTCAGACTCTTCGCAAAAAGGTACAGTATGTAGAAATGTCTGAAATAATGTGATAAAATTTGGGTCTGATGAGACAAAAATTGAGTTATTTGGCTTTAATGCAAGCATTATTTCTGGCAGAAGAGGAGCACTGCAAAAAATCTGGGACCGAGATTCATATTTCAACAGAACAATGATGCCAAACACAAAGCAACCCTTGTTGGCTTCCAAACCAAGTGAAAGTCCTTGAGTGGCCATTCAAAGTCCAGACTTCAATCCCATAGAAAATCTGTGGCAGGAACTAAGGATTAGTGTAAACTACTGTACCTCTCTCCCAGTAACCTGCTACAGCTGGACCAATTTTGCCTGGAAGAGTGGGCAAGAATTAAACCCGCAAGACATGAAAAGCTGCAGAAGACTTGAGTCTGTCATTGTTGCAAAAGGGGAGCTACTAAATATAAAATGCTAATTAAAAGGTGATACTCGTCCAAGCTGAATTTTTTTAGTTTTCTACTTTTCATAAAATGTTCTTTTAAAATAAGAAAATGGTTATGTCCCATCACAATCTTAAGTATTTTTTGTTAATCATACACAAACCCTGGTCAATTTGAGGTTGTAACACAGCAAAATGTGGTAGAGGTCCAAGGGGGGTCAATACTTTCTACGCTCATTGTACAGTATACGTATGCCATGCAGGCACACACACCCGTTGTAATCCACCCCATAGCCTGTGATATTTATATTATATATAATCAGCTGTCACAGAAACATATAGCAACCATATCACTCTGTAATTCACAACTGGCAACCCACTGAAGCAAAGCAGGTGTGAGCCTGGCCAGTACCCGGCTGCTGCTGGAAGAGGTGTTAGAGGGCCAGCAGGGGGCGCTCACCCTGCGGTCTATGTGGGTCCTAATGCACCAGTATAGTGATGGGGACACTATATTGTAAACAGGCGCCGTCCTTTGGATGAGACGTAAAAAAACCGAGGTCCTGACTCTCTGTGGTCATTAAAAATCCCAGGGCATTTCTTGAAAAGAGTAGAGGTGTAACCCTGGTATCCTGGCTAAATTTCCCATTGGCCCTTACCAATCATGGCCTCCTAATAATCCCCATCTATGAATTGGCTTCATTACTCTGCTCTCCTCCCCATTGATAGCTGATGTGTGGTGAGCGTTCTGGTGCACTATGGCTGCCGTCGCATCATCCAGGTGGATGCTGCACATTGGTGGTGGTGGAGGGGAGTCCCCATTACTTGTAAAGTGCTTTGAGTGGAGTGTCCAGAAAATCTCTATATAAGTGTAAGCAATTAAGCAATCATATAGTTCTTAAATGTTATATAATTCAAAGCCCACTTCCAACAAGCACAAAATACATGACACCAGAGGTGCAAAGGGAAAAGGTTCAAATTCCTAAGTAATGTTCTGGTGCGTGGTGTTCAACAAACCCTAATGAAAAGATTTTGAAACTTTTCAATGAATTAAACAAAAAAAGATTACATATAATTAAAAAGAGATTACATATTAATTCCAAAGAAAAAAAAACAAGCAAATGCTATGTGATATCTACTGTATATAATAATCATCAGCATAATTGGAAAGCATAGACAGAACAGAAAATTATTGGAAATTAACGTGCTGCAACTAAGATTTGTGGTATTAGATAAGTTACATATCTCAAAACACAGACCAGATATTTTTATTGACATATGTGCTGCTTGAGACATGTTCATGTTGAAGCATCATTAAACAACTCCAAGTGTTTGTGAGTTACTGTCAGATTACCCAAGATCCAACAATATATAAACAGAAATGTGGATTTGAAACCCACAATTGCCAGTTTCATATCAATGAATCATTTTCTATAATAAACAAAATGCTATATTTAACATACTAACATATAAATAGACATAAACACTGTACTAGGGTGTGCACTGGCTGCCAATAGGAAAGTCCTGCCAAGTAGGCTTGGAGAGAGACCTCTGTGAGCCTCAATCACAGGTTCCTCATTTGTGGGCAGAAGATTCCATCCTTTGGGGCTTCATAATGTGGATGAAAACTATGATTTCACATAAACCGCTTTTATTTTTCATTGTTTTCTTTCCACATCTATAAGTATAATTATTTAATTGGTTTCTAAGTCTGGGTTTAGTGCTTCCTCTCTGAGGGCCTCTGTCTCATTAAGGGTGACAAGTGCAAGCAGTGGTAAAAAGGTCGACACGTCCACGGAGAAGAGCCCGGGCACAGAAGCAGGCAAAGTCGATATACGTTTTAAAGTTCTTTTTGTGTTTGGTTTATTATTTTAGAACACATTTAAGATTCCTTGAAGAAAAATTGTAAAAATAATAGTCGGATACTGAAATTCAGTTATTATCCCCCACACACACCTCTAGCGGGTTAAAACAAAAACTTGCAAGATAAAAGCAGCATTATAAGTAAAATAACTAAAATATTCTAAATAAGTTCGTTTTAAAAAAACAATATAAATTCATTTAAAAAATGTTTATTTTTCTCAAGGATAATCAAGACAATGTCTGATGGCTGCAATACATAGAAGGCACTGTAATTCAAGTTACAGATAAGATAATGTGGCTGTACCAATGGATATTTGTGATGCTTTTGGGCTTTGCAGTTATAAACTTGTGATGGCATTTTATGGTTTTTCACATTTTTATAAGTACAACTGGTGCAGATTCTGTCTAGGTCTAGGTTTTACTGACGGATTATGAAGAGTAACAGTAGCCAGAGTTGTTGTTCCTTAGCGGTCTATAGCACTGACCTATAAAACAAATAACAGAAAACAGGAAACAACTTGTGGAAACTTACCAAGATGGGTCTGTCATTACATTCCTCCCATCAAAAGAGTAGATTGGTATTTGTGGATCAAACTGGCCCCCATTACCAGAAAATATAGACATCCAGTTGTTGAAAAGTACGTCTCCCTGTTGAGAACCATGTTACAAAGATTACAAGAAAGCCACAAAAAAACTGGCCAGTGTTCTCTTTGCTCTCAGAGTTTTACAGAAATTACTGGACCAGCATATCATTATAAAAACTGTAAAAGAAAATCTGCTATAATTTGCCTTCAATATGTCACAGATGTCTAAATGCAAAGGAAGCAAGGCAATTAAATAAGATACCAGTAGGAAACCAACTGCATGATCCTTTAAATTACAGATTATCACTCAGATAAGTCTGAGATGGAAACTCCTTTTGGGTTCTTTATCATTTTGTCTTTGATCTATATGACTAAATTGAACCAATTATCTGAATTAAGAGTAAAATCACCTGTTTTTAGGTATTGAAATTACCAGTAAAATCTACACATCTTTGGCCATCTCTTCTATAATATGCTAACATGCTATCCTAGTGATATTATTAAGAAGTTTGCTTTATACTGTATATACATTTTTGCCACTGAAGTAAATTTATGTATTTAAATGTATTAATCTATTTAGTTGACAAATACTACTAAGAAACCAAGGGTCCTCATTTTTGCTGCAATCAACACAATCTTAAAATGGAAATTGTGCTAGAAGACTTTCTTGTAAGGTTTCATACAAACTAAAAAAGACTGTAAGAGACATTGCTCTACCATTCAATTATGTATTTCTGATTACTTGCATTAGTCCTGAATAACTGTGTGCTACTGCCCATATGGCTACAGCACAGTGACTATCCTGCCCCTACCCTCAGGTTGACAATGGGCATTGTGAAGCGGTCCGCCTTCTTCACAACAGTGGCTAGATCCTGAAGGTGGGAGGAGAGGAAGGCTCTGTAAGTGGCCATCAGGCCCATGGCCCGAGCCTGCTGGAAACACTGGAAGTCAGCTCCTCGGATCCCATGCATGTCCCCCGAAAATGGAGCATTCAGAGCCACCAGGTGCAGCTGGAATACAGCACAGTGAAGTCAAATACAGACGCTCCAAAAAGAGTCATGGCTGAGACAATTAAACTAGCAACCAGGAAAAATACAGAAAAATACAGTACCCTCCATATTTATTCATAGCTCTGATGAAATAAGAACACCATATAACCATATAATGGACAAACTCAAATGAGAAACTGCTTTGGTTAAAAGGAGCAAGTAAAGATTTATTCTACAATGAGAAGTAGAAAGAATATTGAACATTATCTGTTAAGTCTTCTTTAGGTGCGAGGGAGAGAGAGGAAGGTAGCAGCAATATATCCTCTCCCCTAGATCTCCCTGTACAGTGATCCCTGCTATTACGGCAATTTCCAAAACGTGAATTGGCTCATACGCGATTGGTAAATAGGGAAAAGATGTCTGTAAAATGCAAAACTCGCGTTGGCCTATATGCGATTTCACCCCTGACATGTTTATGTTTTGCATCGTGGAGTAACATAACTTAACGTCATGGTCCACAGAGGTATACACATGATGCTCAGTTGTCCCATGTGCTTTGTTTTGGTGATAGTTGGGAGGTGTCCCTCAATTTTCATGCTATTTTCACTAAATCGTCTGCATTGCTGTAAATATGAGTGGACAATGTGACAAGAATGTGTCTAAGAAGTGTGTTGGTGATAGACTTTCAGGTGGTGAACTTAACTTTTTTTCAAGGTAAAGTCCTTAATTTACCGTATTATTTCTTTATTTATTATTAATTTCACATGTATTTAAACTAAGATTTTTATTGGGATAATTATTAAATTTGGTAAAGCTTTGGTTAGGCATTTTGGTTGGGTTTTGAGTGGTCTGCCCATAACTATATTTTCCCCACAAGCCCTGTTATTTTTATTGCGTGATTTTGCATAACACAAGGTTTTACAGGAACACATCTTTCGCATTATAGCAGAGACACCTGTACTCTCATTTCTCAGTTCTGCTGCACTTTATATCATTGCTACTTTTTTCCCTGCTCTCTGCTGAATATACCTTATTCTATTGTATTGTCCATTTTAAGAATTTTAAAGCTATGGGTATAGTGGCACACTGTTGGACAAATAGGACAAATGTGTATCTTCTCCCTATAGACAAAACAGGTAAACTGTAAATCCAAAGGCCACAGTTGGAGATCTGAAGTGGGCATCTTCAGGATACACAGTGTCAAAAACTACCATTCAAAGTCGCCTGCATGAACGTGGCACTGAGATTTAAGTTGCAAGGAAAAAGCCCCTTCTGAGGGCAAACCACAGAAAGAGGCAACTCAAGCATGCCAAACCCCATCTGAATTACAACATGTAGTTCATTCTACAGTACATCCAGACTACCTATAAATAAACATATTCAGATGCTGTATATGAAATCTGACATGAGAGAAGTGCTGAAATAATGTTTTATTTCTACAATTCACAATGTAATTTTGTGGAAATTAAATACTAGCACCATATCATAACCATTTTAGATCAAGGATTAAAATACAAGACAAAGCTATCAAACAAATCTCACTTACCCCTGGGGTTGTGTGAATTGTGTGAGGAAGTAAACTGTAACCTGGTAGAAAACTCTGTAGCTCCTGAAGAAAGATCAATTTTATATTTAAAAAAGGATTGTACAGCAAGACAGTAATTCTAACAATGTCATGGGATTATTTAACAAATTTAAAAATTACTCTAAAGCAATTTTGCATTATTATTATCATTATTATTACAACATTGTTCTGTGCAACACATTTTGCCCAGTAGTGGAAATAAGATAGACAGTAGCCCTGGCCACTGCATCACTAGGTATTATTGAGCTACAGATGCTTGACTTACCAACCCTGAGGAAACATGAGAGGAAGGGCTGTCAGCTGGGATTGGAATCAGTTCTCCAAGCTGAGTGGAAAAAATATTTAGAAAATATCCTTATCTTAATCACCACTGCTGAACTAAGTCCTGGTAGAGCTATAATTTAGAAATACATTTTGAACTTAAAAAGGTTTTCATATTTATGGACTAAATGAAAATATTCTGAAGATCTGATTTACAACAAATGTAATAGTTAAAAAAGAAACAAATACTTCATAGCACAGGTGTTACCTGGATTTTTCTCCATCCTTCTCTTACGCGGATGTACACCTCACTCTTGTCAGCAATGTATGCCATTGTGCCCTCTGCTGTACGGTATGTCTCCTTCAACAGTGTTTCAAGACTTCTATAGGTGGTCACCTGTAAAGTCAAAAGAGTTACAATTTATAAGAGTGCTTGAAGAACAAAACACTATAAAAAACGGCCTCCCACTCTCTATCTTTTAGACAATGCTCATTTCCATCTCAGGGACTCTGCAGGGACTGTTGGGAAATGATCTCGGCAATCTGGTGTCTGAGTCCATTCACAGACCTGACTAGCTAAAAAACTTTCACCTTTTTCAAAACATCTGAGTAATCTCTGAAACTCTAATCCCTGATCTGCTGTTGTCAATTGCAACTGCACAGTCAGAACACATAATGCACATAACTGTAGAAGAATGATGGGAAGGTAGGGGATGTGGCCATTTGAAGTCACATGAACTGTACGTCTGTTTTTTTCACTAAAGTAGATCTCAGTCATGGGCACCTGTATTTCAGTTAAACTGGACCATCTTGTTGATGCCTGCTTTACAGAGCAGAGGAGGAGAGTGAAAATATTGCATTACAAGACACTGTTTTTTGGAAATACAATGAAATTCTGAAATGAACAGGGTAATCTATGGAGATGGAGTTCTTCTATGTACAATATGTGTCTTCGAAGATCAGAGGTATAGACATTATCAGCTCTTTTGCATGTAACCTTTAGCAGCAGAGGAGCAGCAGTAAGCAGTTTTTCACTTCCTGTCCCAGTCAGCTCCTACTTACTGGGTTTCCAATTCCAGGGGGGCCAGGCAGCCCAGGGGGTCCAGGTGGGCCAGGGATAGAAACAGCTGAAACAACACAACCAGCTATATGTTTCAGAAGAAGACTCTGGATAGCAGATGAAGTCATATTCATGCATCAGAAAAATATCCTAAATGAAGTTGTAATGCAGTTTGTAGCAATTTCATAGTATGCCTTCCTGCGTGTGTTCTCTGCAACAGACTGCTGCTGTTTTGCTTCCAGTTTTATTTTATAATGAATCATAAAAGATCATAAAACAGAGACAGACAAATGTATTCCATCAAAGAACATATCATTTGCTGTCAGGGTGTGGAAATTAAATCCTTAGTATCAGACTCAGATCCTTACCAGAGCCATATAGAGCAGGAGGCCCAGGAGGCCCTGGAGGCCCCGCGGGACCCTGAGGTCCTGGTCTCCCAAACCCAGGGGGTCCCGGCTGGCCTGGCATTCCAGGAAGCCCCTGGGGCCCAATAATAGACTCTCCCTTGGGTCCCTGAAACACAACATGTTGTCTTTGTGAAAAAACAATTGTGCACATTGTAGGTCCTTTAAGTACATAAGTACAAGTACCAAAGTATCACCTAACATAGAAAAAATTACAAAAATTACTCATTACACGCATATTAAGTTTAAAAGAACTCCACTGAATTGAAATGCCTGCAAAACATTAAAAGTACCTAATCCATGTCAAAATAGATTATATTTGACAATAACGGAAAACAATTCTCTAGTTTACTAAAAACAGAAACAAAATAAATGCAGTGCAAAATAATTGGAAAAATATGTCAGATTTTCTTTAAATACATTGTCAGTTTGGGATGTCATGTTACCATCGGCGGGGATCTTTCAGTTGTGTCTTTAGTATAGCATGGGAAAACACTCAGGATGCCAGCTTAGTGTTCCCTTTGCCTACTTGGAAATGTAGTTTCCACATTGGCACAGGACTGAGGAAACTACAGACTTTAGCAGGCAGGGGGAAGTGGGAAGAGGTTTCTCAAAACTCTTGGCCCAAATATATCCTCTCTATAATCCTGTCTCACTTTCTGTCACTATATACAGTATGTCTAATGCATACATTTTAGATCTAACTCCCTGCTTTGCTAATGCTTCAGTAACAGAAAAGGAAAATCCTTTTTTTGGAGAAGTTGTCATTCAGGTGCTTGTTCAGGAAAAGAAAATGCTACTCACCACCAGACCAGACCTCCCAGGAAGGCCAGGGGGTCCAGGAATACCAGCTTCTCCCTTTTCGCCTTTTTCTCCTTTGTACCCAATGTCCCCTTTGTCACCCTGAGGACAGACAGCATGTTCCATCGCATCACAATTGCAGCAGTCCAACAGAACAAAAAACTAAGTATTTAATTCTCACTGGATTTCTACTGTTAGTTTTAGTGGATAATAAGTACTTTTTGCATGTTCATATCAGCATATACCTATATTCAACTGGCAAGAATATAGAGTCAAAAATACAAATAAACTATATTAGGATAGACCTGAGTACTTTTATGGCTGTGAGAAGTAATGAATGAAGAAAATGCAGTGAACTTTACTGGTAATGCACAATGAAAAGGGCTCGTCTACTGGAAAGCCCATAGGCTCTTTCAAAATGAGGACAACACACCAAAGAGTAACAAAAGAGAAAGACCTACCACAAATCCTTTGGGAAACCATGGACCTGTGTAAAGATTGGATATTTTAAAAACTTAAAGATTGTATTGAGAGATAATCAAAGATAAAACAAACAAAAATGACAAGCTGGGATGTTTAACAAGTTAAGAAAACTCCTGATTTAGATATAAATCAACTACAAATTAGTCAAACAACAAATTTCCATTCAAGGAAAAATGAGAACAACAAGAACAAGACAGTTTTCTTATGCAGGAGCAGCAACACTCTGCTTTTATAAAAATACATCAAGATAAACAACTGAACAAAGTTTCCAAGTCATAAATCAACTAAATAATTCAGTCTAAACCATAAAGCCTAAGAAATATGGGAAATGTAAAAGTTCAGGTAAGCAACTTAAAAAAATAAAACCATACACAAACATGAAGGTGTAACAGGGAGGAAAATCAAAGGAAAGATTAAAATCAAATTACCATAAGAGAGTGAATTAAAAAGTAATAACACCTTCAATGGCTTATGGCTGTTTTTGGCAAACTTTCTCAATGGAACCCTTCAGTGTATCTCTCATTTTTTCAAGTTTGATAAAGCACATTTTGTCTCTGATCCAATGCTAATGCAAGGGGAGAGCAGTCGTTCTTCAGCTTCTTAAAATGAGACAGTAAACCAACAGAGAGAAGAAAGCCAGCATTTCAGACTGATGTTTTGTCAGTGAAGTTCCTGTCAGGAGGATGTCAAACAAGGCTGTAAGTGGTGTGGGTGAGACCACACATTCTGTATAGAAGCCCAAAACCAAATAGTATGAGACAGGACCAAAACTTATGCACCAGGGAAGCAGGTGTTTGGTTATAGGATGTCTTTCTCAGTAGGGTTCTTTATCAGGATACATTCTGGCCAGTTTAGTTTTAAACATATGGAGTGGGTCTAAAACTTTAAATTGTAATTAACCTATAGTAATGGATGTCTTGATCTGAGAATGTAATATTGAGATCCTCTTCTTAGACAGCTCCCACAAAAGATAAACATGAAGAATATAAGGTGTGCATGTACAGTAGTTATATATTTTAGAGACAGCTCCTTTCTAAAATGGGACAGAGTCTCACATAAAATTCTAGAGCATCTTTGTTTTTTTCAGTAAAAATTAAATAGAAGCCTGATAAAGGGTAGGAGGGACTTTTTCAGACTAAAATGATTGTGAAAATACAGAATTTAAGGTGGGAGAGAACTGGGATAAAATTGTTTTGTAGAAGCTGTCTGGGCCAGGGGCCTTCCCACATTGCATTGGTTTAATCAGTTCTTGTAACATCAAACACAGAGGCTCGTCAAGGCTGCTTTTTAAGTCAGTAGTAATGGAGGGGGCTTTTAAAATATAAAAACTGCATCTAACAAATAGATATTGACAGTGGATCCTGAGGTGTATAAGTTATAAGTATAAGTGGAATTGCTCATTAATGTGACTGGGATTTCAGATTTGATGGCACAGCTGGCCTCTGAGAGGTGCTACTCATTCCATTAAGGGAGAATGAATTTAAATCACCCCTCATAATAAGGTGATGCATACAGTGCTGAGAAAACGTTTGTGAACCCCAAAGATTAATATGGAAATTTCATAGTTTTACCATGATTGCCTTCTTGAATCAAAACCACTCATCGAATAGGGTTTTTATCATAATTTATTTTATGTTTCTTGAAATAAAATGATATATGAATTGAAGAAACAATTACTAATTAAAGGGAACTGCAGCTCTATTTTTATATTTTGGGATTAGAAAGAAGCATTGATCAGTGAATTTTAAATTGGAATAAAAGTAAAATGTACACAGTAACTTGTAAAACCTCCAATTTAAATCACAAAATAGACAAAATTTCCAGTTATGCGCAGAGCCATGTTCTGCTATTCAGAATGAGGCAACAAAACTTCTGGTGGTGTGTTGTGGCCCTATGAAATTGCAATCAAGCAGGCTTATAAATACATCTCTTTTAATCCAATAGAAATATTCCTTTTGATTTCAACATGGTTTTGCCAACAAGTACTACTCACTTGTTAACTCTGCATGCATATCACGTTGGAACATTTCTGAGGTGAAATGTCTGCTGCACAACCTGTATTTATACACTCTTACATCATATTTCATTAGTCTTTACAGAGACTAGTGAGGAGGAAGGGCCGAATCACGTCACAATTGGTGGGAACTGGAATGCAAGTTTGCGACAACATGGTGACTTACAGTACTTTCACAAAGTTCGAAAATTGTAATTTTTTTCTATATTTATTTATTTTTAGTTTGTTTGCATGCTTTACAATGGCCTAGTCAAGATCTGTACCTAAACCCTCTTTAAAAGTTGTGGCAACACTCAAATGTTGAGCTGAAGGAGCTCAAAACCTGATGTGAGAGGCTAGTCAATGGCTATAGGAAAAAGTTGCTCAAAGGGGTACAGTACCACCAATTACTGAATCTAAATCTAATTTTATCTTTCATTACTTCTTATAGTATATTTCAATTGAAAAACTGCTCATATTTCAATATCCATGCAATTTCTAATTGCTTTATCCAGTACCATCCAACTGCAGTACAATAAGACAGGGCTCAAGTCCATTGCAGGGCACACACAGACAAACATACACGTACTAACACCAGGGCCAATTTTCCCAGAATCCAATTAACCTACCAGTATGTCTTTGGACAGTGGGATGAAACTGAAGCAGTAAGAGGAAACCCACAGAAACGGGGAGACCATACAAACAGATAGAATCCCTGGTCCAGAATTGAACCCAGGGGCCCAGCGCTGTGAGGATGCAATGCTACCTGCTTTACCACCACATATCAATATGTTGTAAAACACATATTTTTAAATAGGAATGTTAATGAATATTTTTAATAAAAAACTGACTGTTCAAGGACAGCATGATGGAGCAGTGGTTAGTCTCTGTAAGGTTCTGCTTTCCGGTAGTAAAGTTTCAACCAAAAAGTCCAAGGAGCTTGGTTTCAATAAGAAAAGCACACATACGCTCAGTTAAATCCATTGATCTCTAAAGGAGCAGCAAGGAGTCCACCTACATTACTGTGCTTGACACAAATATAGGGTTTTACTGGGCAACAGACACTAAATATACACAGCATGGTACCTGCAATTCCTGGTTTCCCAGGGAAGCCAACTTCTCCCTTATCCCCTTTAGGTCCCTGAAATCCCGAAGAACCTCTCCGTCTGCTGTTTCCTCCTACAAAAGAGAAAAAAACAGATAGAAATAGATTCCATAAGCATGTCAGACAGCACAGAAACACTGTGATGTTTATAAGAAAGGTATGCAGCAGTTTCCTCCACAAAATGTTTCTTATTAAGACCTCCTTTGTGCTTCTTATAGAGCTACTATACTCTGAGAACACATTTGATTTGGTGTTGCACCATAGATTTTGATTTTTACCTATTAGTCAACTAGTAACTGACCTAGACCAAAGATTAATGGTATGACATATACAAAAGCAAGTTTGTTTCCTTGGATTACACATTCATAAAGTGTTATTTGCTCCCGAACAAAAGTGTCACCACAGCTAAGATATTTACCAATAAAACTGTGTATTAGCATAATAGCCAGTACCAATAAGAGTCCTATTCTGTGCTTATTTGTTTTTTAATTTTTTTATGATTTCTCATTGCCTCAATATTGTATGTTTCATATAATGTAACCTAAGAGACATGTTCTGGTTCAGAATCACTTACCTTGAGCTGAAGTGTCCTCCTGATTTGCATTCATCTGTACACAATAAGTGGAAAAGAATAGATCAAGAATGACAGCAATGATATAACATCTACATATTTTTGGGGGAATGTCAGTCTTTTAAAGGCATTCATATAAAACATGTACTAATGTAGTGTGAATAATAATTTCTTGTGTTTGTAAAGCGCATTCCATTATTTTATGTAATAAAATGCTTCACAATCAGTATTTTCTTACTCACAGTACATTATGACTCGTGTGTTTCAACTGAATGCTCTCATGTATTATCCTCTATTGTTAAGTCAAAAATGATTATTTTTAGCATCTCCTTTACAAGATATGAAGGCTGTGTGAAAGATGTCAGAGAGTTCAAGACCCAAAGTACACATGCCCAACTTCTACAACAAGAGCAAGCGCTATAGAGCCTGACCTATCAATATATAAATATTTCAGAAATTGAATAGCTTACATAAAACATCAAATGTAATGTGCACAAGCCTTTTTAAAGATATTGCTGTACAGTCACCTATATTACCTAATACATGTAAATTGTATTTTTCAAATATTTGAAATAACAACAAAATTTAATTAAATGGAAAATGTGAAATGTATGTAAAACATCAATGCAAATATGCTATTCACAGAGTGGCGCCCCAAAAAAAGAGATAGGATAACAATCTATGAGACAACAGTGACTAAAATCGAATATGACAACAGTCATCCAAGTAGTGTTAGACAAAATGTGGACTGTTTTGGGCTGAACAGAGACGTAGAGCTCCTTTCCAGATCCACGCTGTTTTTTTTTAGGTTTAGTTAATGTCTTTTTACAGAATGTCTTCACCACCAATATTTAGGAGTCTTTGAATGTAGTCACTGGTTTATATTAACTAAAAAATGAATTGCATAGGATCTCTTTTTCTGGGGTCACCCTGTTTGTCTCTTGTTAGTCTTTAACACAATGATATGTAATAAAAAAAGACCAAGACCATATACAGTACAGTATCAGTCACGGCAGCATTCTAGCTTGCTGATTCCCCTTCAGTTTTAACTTTCACCCGTCATGCTTCATGCTTGCTGAGGTTTTTCCTCAGCCTTGTTTGAGTTAAGGACCATTCAAGCAACAAGCACATTTTGCCTTTCCATCAGAGCACCAGCATGTAGTAAGCTTAAATGTTCAGATTTGGGACAAAAAAAATCAGAAATAAAGTAATGTCTAAGTTTATAAACTTGAATACTACATTCAAATAATAAATCCAGTATAATGTTTATTACGCATGCATAATACTATATACAGTGCCTTGCGAAAGTATTCGGCCCCCTTGAACTTTTCAACCTTTTGCCACATTTCAGGCTTCAAACATAAAGATATAAATTTTTTATT